GAGCCACACTGGCCAGGGCCTGATTTATCATTATTGTTGAATAATTTAAAAATAGATCCATAAATCCCCAATACCAGGGGAGGAAGCCTGGGGCCTCCAGCCCAGTGGGTTTGGCAAACGAGGCCTAAGACTGCCATATCTGAGTTTCAAAACATCCTAAAAGTGAAAAACAAGCTAATACAGGCCCAGGGTATAAGGGGACCATTCAGAGTGCAAATATTATAAACCATTGTCTGTCAAAATAAAACCATATTGTGAGGTCACGAGTTTCAGTTTTTGGCCAGTACAGTCCTCCTCTGAAAGACTTGAGCCAGAATATACAAGTATAAATACCATGACACCACATTTTATTGGTACGATGTAGACAAACTGTCTAGCCTCTCCAAGCCTCGGTTTCCTTCATCTGTAAAATGGGTATAACAAGACTACAACTTTGGGTGGTTGTGGGGAGGTGTGAGGACGCACAACAAATACCACTAATATAAAATAAAGTCTCATTTCCTTACAAGGGTGCCTGGAGGTTAAACCAAAGCCAAAGCTCTTCCCGCCCTCGCACAGTACCTGGCATTTAGGAGGCACACATTGACCCTGGGCCTCACCCACTGAATCCATGGGCATCCAAACCATCTGAGGAGCTTATTACAAATACAGATTCCCAGAGTCCGTCCCTGGAAACTGTGATTCCGTTGGGTTGGAATGTGGCCCCAAATCTGCATGTTGCCTCCCGCTCCGTACAGAGTGCTGGTAAGAAACGCTCTTCTAGGAGTAGGCCGAGTTCAAATGTCCTCCCTCCTCCAAAAAAATGTCCCTTCTCCTGCTCTGCTTTCGCTTCCTTCTCTACAAGAAAATGACCAACCAGTCCTTTCCTTCTCCTTCCTCCAGAGTCTTGGGAAGTAAGTTTCTAGAAAGGATGCCCTTGCTACTTCTGGACAAAGTCTCAATAGGACAGTTTTGAAGAGAGAAGGGGCGGGGGAGGGGAGAGAAGGAAAAAAGGAAAGACGGCTGCTTGGAGAGGGTGGAAGGGTACTAGGGAGACAGAGGACTTCGAAGCGTTTGGCATTTACACCAAAAAGACTGAAATCCCTGAAGAGTCCCACGTGATGGGCAAACAGACCTTTCCCATCCTCTAGGACGAAATCCAAAGAGTTTTCCAGTTGGGAGAAATAGCGGAAATGAGAGAGGGAAAAAAAATGGGCTGGAGAAAAGGAGGGTGGGGAACGTAGAGGGAGGCAAACGGACAACCACGGACCTAACGACATAACTTGGATGTGAGTCCAGGCCCAGACAAAGGGTCCCTTTTTCAGTACCTTTGACACAAAATAAATAAATAAATAAAAATACAAACTTACCTAATGCTTTCTTTGGATCCCTGCCTCTCTGCAAACACCAACTAATGACTCCGCCGCCCAGGACAGCCCCTCCTGCGGGAGGTAAACAGCTACGGGCTCTGGGGCCGTATCTGCTCAGTAAACCAGAACCACCATGCGCTAGAAGCTAAGCGGCTTGTGTGGTGAGAGGCTGTGCGCGGTTAATTAATTGCGTCACGTCTGTAGCTGATAAAGCAGGTCTCGTGGGTGGCTGTTTTCAAGTCTCACAGCTTTAGTTGGGAGTTGAAAATTAAAACAGTTGCTTCTCCAAGAGATCTGAGGTTCCAGGATTGAACTTTATTAAAACGAGGGCCTCAAAGGAAGCGGCGAAGTTGATCAGAGAAACTCGAGTTGGAGTTGGCCTGGAGGGGTTCGAGCTGCCTGTTGGAGTCTGCTGCTAATGCAACCATTAGCGTGGACTTTTAATTCAAAAGACATGAGCACCTAGAACTTACATACCTATATGCATAGCCCACGGACACGGGCAATAGGGTAGTGAAGACCTGGGGGTTGGGTAGGTTCTGGGAGGAGGAGGGTAAAGAGGGGTGAATGCTACCAAAAAATATATATATATTTTAAAAAGACACTGGCACCAATACAATGCTTGTGAAGGACATTCAAGAGAATCCATTTGTCCACCCCTAGATCCAGGGGCCATCCAGCTGTGACCCCTCCTCCACGCCCCCTTGCCAATGGGCTTAATTATTCTTTTTTTAAAAATACATTTTATTGATTTTTTACAGAGAGGAAGGGAGAGGGACAGAGAGTTAGAAACATCCATGAGAGAGAAACATCGATCAGCTGCCTCCTGCACACCCCCTACTGGGGGTGTGCCCGCAACCAAGGTACATGCCCTTGACCGGAATCGAACCCGGGACCTTTCAATCCGCAGGCCGACACTCTAGCCACTGAGCCAAACTGGTTAGGGCTATTCTTTTAACTGTTACAGGAAATTTCAAACATACTTACGAACCCCTTCACCCCAAGTACTTATTACTCAGCCTCAACAATCCACTCCTGGTGCATCTTGCTTCATCTAAGCCTCGTGGTTCTCAAACTCGAGCGTGCATCGAATCACCTGTGAGGGAGGGGGAGGGGCACACACAGGTGAGCGGCCTCTCCTCAGCGTTTCTGACCCAGCAGGTCTGAGAGGACCTGAGCTTTGCTTTTCCGAGTTCCCAGGGGCTGTGGATGCTGCTGGGCCGGCACCCCCACTGTGAGAACCAGTGGTCTTCACACCCACGGGTGTGCCTTCGGGTGGTATCATCAGATCTGATCTCGGCCATCATATCATCTGAAATAAAATACCATTATTACACCTAAAAACTAACAATTCAGTAATATCATCAAATTATCGAGTAAGTCTCACATTTCCACGTGCCTCATAAGAGTCATCCTTTTTTACAGTTTATTTTCATCAGAATCCAAATAAGGTGTACGTATTGTGATCACATAATATCTTTGTCTCTTTTCATCCTGAACCTCCTCCAACACTTTTGTTTCCTTGCCATGAACTCGCTGAAGAGCCTTTACTATTTTTCAGAGGCAGCCTAGCCTGTGGCAAGCTCTCAGAGTCCGGCCGCCGGCTCAGCTCCTCCACCCGCCCTGTGACCTTGCTAAGTGAGTTAACCTCTCTCAGCACAGGGGGACTGGTGAATGTTTAACAACCAGTTCTGGGCAGGGAGGGGGTGGAACAAGCCCTGGTTTGTCCATTTGTCGATTTCTGTGGCGCAAAAACTCCCACCATGGCGGACTGCGAACTGCCAGAGGGGAGCGGTGGCCACGAAGACAAGCACGCGGCACAGGCTAACACACGTCCACCAGACAGACAACGGAAGCAGACGCCAGGGACATGCAGCGAAGTCATTAGGAAGTGATGGATTTTGGGTATTTATTTTCTGTTTTTAATATAATTTATTTAGTTATAAGTTTATACCACTTAATTTCTAAGAATGGTCGTGTTTGACCCTAGGTGGCCACATTCCTAGAAGCTGAACACCGCCGTGTCTAAGTCTCGCCTCCCTCACCTGTGACATGGGAGGTATAGTAGCTGTAACTTCGTGGTGAGGATGGAGAAAGACTGCGTGTAAAGATTCCGTGGCTGCCCTCGGTCCAGTGGGCAGCAAATGGAGAGTTACTCGCTCCCCTGGCTGGGCAGGGAAAGCGATGAGGGAGTCTGGGTCAGATCCACATACAGAGGAAGCCGGTTTCAGAATTCCAGGGGCAGAAACAGCCCGAAGGGTGTGGGCTCAGCACCCCTCAGCCCAGGAGGTGGGCCTGGCTTGATTGCCACATGGACCCCAGCTTCCCAGAAGAAAGGCCATTTCAGCGAGCGGACTCAGCCCTGCTCCGCCCCTCCACTTTACACAGAGGCCACTTCAACTGTTTGCTAAAATCAAGACCCTTCGTTTGAGGTAGATCAGGTTACTGGGCAAGGTGATTATTGTTTCTAATGGTCTGCAAACAGGTTCTCAACTGTTCATCCCTCTGGTCTCTGGAGACACGTGGGCAAGCCCGACTAGACAGAGGCAAACACAAGCATTGGGAGCTCGGGGGTCTGAGAGATGCTACAAGCATGAGGTGGGTTTAGGAGGGTCCTGTGCCAGTGAGCAAGCTGAAGCTCAACTCTAGGCTGAGTGCTGAGCACCTACATCAAGCATGTCAAACTCGCGGCCCACATGCCTCATTTGTTTGGCCCGTGTTAGCCTTTGAGTTTGACATGCTTGACATTATTACCCAAATAACCAGTGACTCCTTACTGGTGGTCTCCAATTCCTAGGAGGCCCTGAGGTTCAGTCAGGGACTGGAGAATTCGGAGGCATGACAAACATTGTCCACAAAATAAATAAATAAAAGAGGCGGGATCAAGTGGCATTAAATCCTTCATGCCTGTCAGACTGAATTCTCAGGCCACCACTTCCCACCAATGGGAGCTTGGGCAAGTTAGTTAATCTCTTTGAGCCTCGGTTTCCTCATCTATACAATGGGGATAATAAAGGTCTCCATCCACACTGTAGGGTGGTGGGTGAATTATGGACAATACATGTAGAGCACTTAGCAAAATACTTGGCACATAATAAGTACATGATAATAGTAGTTGCCATTAATATTGTCATAATACTTTAAAGCTGTAAATACTATCATAGTTCAAAGAATGCCAATCTAGCTAAAGAGATTACATTTCATTAATAATAGCTTTTCCCTTCCATGTATTTTCTCACCCATAGATATTACAAGTGTCATAAGGAGTGTCTTTGGGGTGTTTGGACCTTAAGAAGCAGTCCTCACTCTTTGTCTTTGGGTAAATCAACCCCTCAGGACCCCAGCTTCCTCATCCGGGAAAGAGGAGCCATACGGGCACACCTCGCTTTATTGTGTTTCACAGATACTGTGTTTTGTACAAGTTGAAGGTTTGTGGCAACCCTGCGTCAAGCAAGTCTATTGATGCCATTTTCCCAACAGGCTCGGCTGATGGTTGGCATGTTTTAGCTAGATCAAGTATTTTTCAATTAAGTATGTCCATTGTTGTTAGGCATGATGCTATTGTACACTTAATAGACCAGTATAGTAGAAACATAACTTTTTTATGCACTAGGAAACCAAAAAATTTGTGTGACTCACTCTATTGTGGTCATTGGCTTTCCTGTGGTGGCCCCACACCGAACCCGCACGACCTCCGAGGTATGCCGTGATGACAGACAGGATGTAGGGGTGGATGCTTTCAGGTAGACACGCCGAGAACATGGATGGCTCATTGTCAGACCTCTTGCCCTGAAGTTGAGGTGGGAAAGCCTGGCCAGCATCCCCATCCTGGAGCATAAGTAAGGAAAAGACGATGCTCACCGTGACTTTCTGGATGTGGCTAGGGAAGAATGAGTAAGTGACTGATTGGTCTAGATCCAGAAAGTTCCCCCAGTGTCGTCTCCAGCTCACAGTTTCCTGGGGCCAATTTCCCACCTTCTGCACCTATTCTTCATTCCTCAACAATCCGACAGGGCAGAGGATCCAGGCCCAGCTGTCACGTGATGATACGAAGTTCTCCAGTGGCCCCGGGATGTAGAGGACAGCACAGGGATTACAGGCAATAACACCATAATAACTGTGCGTGGGGTCAGGCGGGGACTTGAAATATCACTCTGTCAAGAACATGATTGTCTAACCACTGTGCTGTACACCAGGACTAATACAAAATAATACTGAATGTGAACTGTGATTGAAAAATAAAATTTAGCCCAACTGGTGTGGCTCAGCGGTTGAGCATCGACCTACGAACCAGGAGGTCACGGTTCGATTCCCAGTCAGGGCACATGCCTGGGTTGCGGGCTTGATCCCCAGTGTGGGGCGTGCAGGAGGCAGCCAATCAATGATTCTCTCTCATCATTGATGTTTCTAGCTCTCTCTCCCTCTCCCTTCCTCTCTGAAATCAATTTTTAAAAAATTATATATATATATAATTTAAAAAAGAAAAAAATTAAACAATTCTCTGGTGGGGTGAGCTAGGGTGCTGGTGGGAATGGAACGAGCACTGTGAGAGATGGTGGGAGGCACAGGAGGCCTTTTAGAGTTTGTAGAGGGGAACTTGGCCGTGAGACTTCAGCCTGGACGCTGGGCAGAGAGCAGCCAGGCCGCGGCTGCGGGAGGATCCCTGGGAGTCACCGATCACCACCCACGTGGCCCCACAGCTCTCCTGCGCGGGGGTTACTCCCGCCGCACTGTAATCTAGAAGAGCCTGTGTTTTCACTTTGGATCTCTTCAAATTCCCTGTAAATAGCAAAGATCATTGAATATTGAATAAATGCATGAACCATCCTGCTTGTGGCTGCGAGCTGGGGAGAAAAGAGGCTGAGGCAACCGTTTTCAGTCTGTGCAGGGTGGCTGCGCTGCCCAAGTGACCTAATGCTGGGTCATTATTTCCAGAGCGTTAGATTTTCCTGCTGCCAATCCCAATAGAAGTCTCCAAACGCCAAGTCCCTTCCATGAAGCTTTTCCTTGTTTATAGGCAGGATATTTTCCCTGTGTGTTCCTGCCTCTGGCAAGATTTTAAACAGCGTCAGGGCAGAAAAGTCCACCGCTCAGAGCGGGAAGGGAAAAAAAGAGGAGAATGTGAGCATTATTATTTCACAGAATCTCCCCCTCCTGGCCAGGAGAGTGTCTGTGGGTCTGATTACAATCATTTTGCCTGGATCCATTAGTTCTTATTTAATCAAAACGACTTACTCTTGTTTTTCTTTCCTTGCTCCCGAAAGCATGGCCTTGGGAGGGAGACGGTTTGGCAGCTGGGAGAAGCGTGGGAGCAGGAGGAAGTGGAGGCTCTGGACCTGAATTTAAGGCAAAGGCCTGAACAGTGACGCCGTCGCCGCTGCTGTACAAGCCCCTCGGATCCCAGCACCCAAGGAGCAGTAACACCATCCACTTTTATTTTATTTCAAGATATAAAGAGCCATGTAACCTGGCAAGTAAGCCTGTGCTCTTTAGAGTCTAGTCCTGGCCGACCACGAGCCACAGTAACTTGGACAAGCCACTCTGGCACCGCAGGGAGCTCCCATTCCGAAACATGTAAAGCAGAGAGATATTTAGAAGTTACAATGAGAGGTACTGAGGACTGCGGTGTAGGGATATAGAGAAAAGCAATTCAAGGAACCCTCAGCTGGCATCCTGGCCCCACACTCCTGGCATATGTAGATTTGGTGAGTTACTTAATCCCACAGCCCCATGTGTAAAGTGGGGCTGGTATTATCTGCGTTGGAGGACTCCTGTGAGGATTAAGAGAGTATGTGTCTAGCCCTGGTTGGTCTAACTCAGTGGCTAGAGCATAGGCCCGCGTTCTGAAGGGTCCTGGGTTCGATTCCAGCCAAGGGCACATGCCCAGGTTGCTGGCTTGATCCCCAGTAGGGGGTGTGCAGGAGGCAGCCAATCAATGATTCTCTCTCATCATTGATGTTTCTCTCTCTCCCCCCCTCCCCCTTCCTCTCTGGAATCAATAAAAATATATTGGGGGTAGGGAGGGGAGAGAGTATGTGTCTAGCTAATGCTAGCAGATAATAGGTGCCCACATAAATATTTGAGTGAATAAAGGTACAGAATGATCCATGGGTGTTTGGGGAGCTGTGAAGTGTTAGGTATTGTCAGAAAAGAACCTGAGATCATGACCTTAGGGACCCTGTCTGTCTGTCTCATTTACCTGACCCGGTGCCTGGCATATAACTGGCACTCAGTCAATGCTTGTCCGGTGAGTTATTCACATAGAAGTTAGAGGGCAAGCTGAAGTCTGGTGATTATTTTCTCCCATTACTCAGCTAACATCTGTTAAGTGCCAACTATGTGCCAACGACGGCAGCTTCTGGGGATGAAGAAGCCAGGCCTTGCCTTCCAGAGGCTACAGAACAGCCGGCTCTCAGGGTTGAGTTGGCAGGAGGGCGGGATGCGCTGGAGAACAGTGTGTGAGGGAGGCCGGTGGGCAGGAGGGGCAGGCAGGGCTGTGAGTGTGGCCAGAGCTCCCGGTTCGAGAGACAGGCCAGGGGATAACTCTCAGCAGGAAGGGGGACAGGGAAGATCGCAAGGTACATTCAGGCTTTTACAGTCAGATTTCCTGTCTGTGTGCTTGGCCACTAGAGAGTGGAAACTTCTCTGCCACGGTGGTGACAGGTCGCGGGGCCTGGGAGGACGGGTCCTCTCATTCCCCGAGAGGGTGGCAGGTTTCGCATCAGAGGCAGGTGGGACTCCGGAATCCCGGAGCCTGTCTGATCCCCAAGCGAGGAACAGGGTTTTCCCCAGGCTCCGGGGGAGGCAATCCTTTCACCACCTCCAACACCTACCCACACCCTTAACTAGAAACCCTGTCCTGCACGCCGCCGGGGAGTCTGGGCCTTCAGACGCAGAGAATATTTCCTAGTGCAACACAACAGGCCACAGCCCGAGACCCAAGGCCCGAGACCTCCTGAGAGGGTTAGGGCTTGGAACTGGGTTGAGCGCACAGGAGTTTAACTGAATATTAAACAGCTTTCCCTCTACCACCCCAGGGTGTTTCGGTTTGTCTCTCTTCAATATGCAGTTAACTGTCCCCACTTTATTCCATATTAGTTCTCCCTCCCTCCCTCCCTCCCTCCCTCTCTCAATGGATAGATTTTTATCTATCCACTCATTTAACAATTATCCACTGAGAGCAAACATGCTGGAGATACAGAGAAAAACAAGATAGAATTCCAGCTCTCCAGCTTGGCCATAGTCATTACAAAGTTCAATGTCAACGCAGCCTTTGACTCAGCAATTCAACTCCCAAGAATTTATTCTAAATATATACTCCCACAGGTGCCAGGACTTCTGCGTAGAAGGACAATCCCTGAACTATTTTAAATAACAATTCAAAATTAGAAACAATACAAATGCCCACCAATAGGAAACTGATCAAATAGATTATGCTACATCTAAACAGTAGAATACTATCACTGTCCAGAAAACGGTTGATCTTTATGGGAAGGTAGGGAAAGATCTCCAAGAAAGATTAGGCAGTGAAAAAAAGCATGCATATTATGTTACTTTTGTTTTTAAGAATGTGTGCAATTATATGCATACAAAGGCTATCAGGCTATCAGATAAGCTGTCCAGGATGGAAGCTGCTAGCCCGGGTGGCGACTGGGCCCTTGAAATGGGGCTAGTCCAACTTGAGATGTAACAGCAAATTTCAAACACTTAATACAAAAACAAGAATGTAAAATGTTTCAATAATTATTTCTTTTGATTACACGTTGAAGAAATATTTTGGATACATCGGATTAAATAAAACATGTTATTGAAATTGATTCCACTTTTCAATTTTTATTATTTTTATTTTTATTTTTAATTGAGAGAGAGAGAGAGAGGGAAAAAGAGAGAGAGAGAGAGAGACCTAATTCCACTTTTTAAAAAAACTTTTTTTCAGTATGGCTACAAGAAAATATAACGTTACATATGTGGTTCACATTATATTCCTATTAAACAGCAAGTACTATTCTGGAACAGGAATCAGCCAAAATGGGCTAAAGCCTGCTTTTGGAAATAAAGTGTTATTGGACCACAGCCACACCATTTGTTTAGGTATTGTGTACGGATATAAGGACAAAGTTCAGTAGCTACAGCAGACACCATGTGGCTGCTAAGCCAAAAATATTTACTACCTTGCCCTTTACCAACAAGGGGCCATGGAGTAGCCCCAATTCCTACCCTGTAGAAACCACAACCAAAAAAGATTATCTTTAGGGCTTGAGACGAAGGCAGATTTTTTTACTTTCCTTTGGGGGGAATAAAAATGTATTATTTTGCCCTAACCGGTTTGGCTTAGTGGATAGAGTGTCGGCCTGCGGACTGAAGGGTCCCAGGTTCGATTCCGGTCAAAGGCATGTACCTTGGTTGTGGGCACATCCCTAGTAGGGGGTGTGCAGGAGGCAGCTGATCGATGTTTCCAGCTCTCTATCCCTCTCCCTTCCTCTCTGTAAAAAATCAATAAAATATATATATATATTTAAAAAAGAATGTATTATTTTTGTCAGCAAAGAAGAAAAACAATTAAAAGAACTTACAAACCTGCTTCTAAGGGTTGCACATTCTAGTAGGGGGTCAAGCCAATAAATAATTAAAAGGTCAAGGAAAAGTACAAGGGCAATGCTAAGTGTTTGGAAATGTCAGGTAGACAATGGTAATAATAGCCAGTAATTACTGAAGGCCTCCGAGGTGGTGGCCACCATCTGCAAAGTGGTGCTTTCTATACCTTAGTTCATTTTACCACAGCTGCCTCATGTTACAGCTGAGGAAACTGAGGCCTAGAGACATAAGTA